CCTCAGTGTGTGAATTCTTCTGCATGCGCCCCAGGATCAAGTCCTCAGTGTGTGAATTCTTCTGCATGCACCCCAGGACAGAGTCCTCCATGTGCAAATACCACCGAGTGCAATCCCGAGGCACATTTGCAATGTGTGAATCATTGGACATCAATTGTAGAATCACAAATTCAGTGTGTAAAGCCTCCTGGGTGCAAACCTAAATCACATTTGCAAGGTGTGAATTCTTCTGCATGCATTCCAGGGGAAAGCCCTCAGTGGGTAAATTCTAATAGGGTTAATCCTGAGCCACTTTTTCAAGATATAAAATCTTGTACATTTCCAGCACCACAAACTCTGTGTGTGAATACTGCTTGGTGCAATACTAAAACACATCTGCAAGATGTGAATAATTCTGCACGTGCTCTGGGGCCAGAATCTCAGTCTGTAAATCCTATTGGATACAAGCCTGGGCCACATTTACAAGCTCCAAAACATCAAGGACCACACTTGCAAAATTTGAAGTCTGAATTAACTCCAGGGTCAAACAAGCTAGGTGTAGCACCTATAAGACACAGCCCTGGGCCACAGCTACAATGTAGGAATTTTCCTGAATTGAATTCAGAATTAAAATTGCAATGTGTACATTTGGGGGAAGGTACACTCGGATCACATTTGCAGGGTGTAAAGCCTTCTAAATTGACTCCAGGAACAAAAGTTCAAGATATCAACTCTGATCCACAACTTCAAGGTACGAATTCCTTTAAGGGCAATCCTGAGTCAAAACCTCAATGCACAAATTATGGAATGCCCAGTTCAGGACCTCAGTTGCAAAGCATGAAGTCCTTCGAGTTGAGCCCTGGCTCAGCAGCTCAATGTACAAAATCTGTTCTATTGAATTCCGAGATACCTTTTCAAGGTGTGAAATCATCTAACGTTTCGAGAGAGACAAAGTTTCAAGAGACCCAAGTTTTGAAGGACCAACTTGGGTCATGGCAGCAAACTGCACAACCCAAGTCTACTTTGAGGCCTCAGTCAAATGGTGTGAAATCTGTGGTAGTTTTACCAACACCCTTGCTTAAAGACAGAAAGTCTCCAGAGACGAGCAAACAGCCTCTGCTTTGTACAACTACTGTAGAACTGGCACCTGGCTATCGTCTGCAAAACTTGAGAAGTAAAGCGTTTTCACCAGAACCTTGTTTTCAAAATGTTAAAGCTGTGCGGTTGAAGCCAGGGTCACAGCCTCAAGGTGTGAATTCTTCAGAGCTGTCGTCATGCCACAGTTCACAACATGCTAAGTTTTCCTTTGCACCAAAGCCATGTTTCCAAGATAGAAAACCTAAGGAGCAAAGTATGAATTGCCAACCATTTCCTTTAGATGAGAAACCAGTGGCGGTAGTACCAGAGTGCTCCAGGAAGTGCTTAGCAGAACCAGCACTGACTAGTGTCAAATTTTCAAATTTGATTCAGGAATCACAGCAAGAATGTACTTCAGAGTCAAGGTGGCAACGTGTGTCGCCAGTGTGTCTGCCACAAACTGGAAAATCTGTGGAGTTACCACCAAGGTCATTCCTTCAAAATATGAAACCTGAAAAGCAAATGTCCCAAACAATTGATCGAATCACAGAATCCTCTAAAGTGATATGTGGACCAAGGCACCAGGTGATGGATTGTGCAGGGAAGAGCATGAAGACAGGGCATCAAGCCCCTAAATCGCTAAATTTTACTTCAACGCCAGTTTATCAAGATGCAGGATCCTCAGAAATGACAGAAACTATGGAGAAATCTGTGAGGTCGACTTCCGAACCAACGGATAAAGTCATAGACTCACGAGGGATGCCTCTGAAGCTAGATCTTCAAATACCACAATCTGCTGACCTGACTCCAACACTAAGTAATGTAGATTCAAATTCCTCAGAACCAAACCCACAGAAAAGCTACCAGATCCCCAAAACTCTGAGATTACATTCTTGGTCATGGCCTGAACTTCAAAATTTCAAGGAGTTACAGACAAAACAACTTATAGACTCGGATAGAATGAGCTTTGACCTTACGAATCATGTTGCAGAAATGATGGAAGTGATTTGTGAGGCAAATCAGCAAGGCAAAGAATTTCTTAGAATGACTCCAAAGCCAGAAAATAGAGAGACTAGATGTGTAGAGAAATCTCCAAGGCCATGTCCTCAAGTCTTAGGACCTGCGGTGGTGAGCTCTGAGAGGAGATCTCAGAGGGGACAGTCTGTAGTGTTGCTGCCAAAGCCATTCTGCCATATCCCAGATTCTGCTTCAGGGATAACACCAGGCCGCGGGTCTCCAATTCCTGAATCTATAAATGTGCCCTCTAAGTCGTGGCTGCAAATAGAAGAAAGCTTAGCATTGTCAACTGAGCAAACCAGTTGGGTTGAGGAAAATGGAGACTCTTTAGAGCTCACCTTTGAGACGTGGCAGCCACGGGGGGTAGCAGCTAGGCTAACAAAAAGCCAGAATATGAGCATGGAAAACACAGGCATAATTCCAGTAGAATCACTGGATCAAATTATAGACTTTGTAAGGATTAGTCCAAAGCCACTAGATCAGGTGATAGAATTTGCAAAGACAGAGCTACAGGCTCCTCGATCAGTTGTTCTCCCAAAAGTGTCTGAATCTCTGAAAGTGATCCCCGGACCACCACTTCAAGTTATAAAGTCCGTTACGATACCACAATCTACCTCTCAAGTGTCCAAGTATGATGATTTGACTCTCAGAATGCATGATGTGATAAATTCAGAATATGCTCCGAGCCTTTGGCTACAAAATGTGCAATCTAAGAAGTTAATCACAGAGCCAACACATCATATTTTAGAAACAATAGAATTATCAGGCTTTCAAGTTATAAGGACTGTATTGATTCCCAAACCACTGCTTCTGATTGTAAAATCTGAAGAACTGGCACCGGTACCGTGTCCTCAGGTTACAGAACCAATAGGAGATACCACAAGATCAAGCATTGAAGTGAAGGAGTGTTTGAATTTACTCCCAAGACCACATCTTCAAGACCTGGTAAAACCTTTGGAATTAACTTTAACGGCAAATATTGAAGTGAATTCTGCAGAATTAATCTTACAGCAAACATCCCCGATTGAAGAACCTACAGTGTTAACTCCCGAGCAAAGGCTTCAGGCTCAAAAATCTTTAGGGCTCAAAACAGAATCTCCTAATGTAATAAAAATTGAAGATTTGAATCAAGGATGGGTGTGTCAGAATAGAGACTCAGAAATGATCACATCAGAAGAGCTCCAAGCAGAGAATTACTTCTCTAGGTTCGTAGACAGCCCTTCAATCCCATTTACTTCAAGCTCTGTCAAAACAACTGAATTAGGGCACCTTCAGGGTTCTGGGGTGCCAGAAGTATCAAGAACTTTGGCTATTAAAAACCTTGATGTTGATCTTTTGCCACCTGCAGAGTCCCATTCAGGCATAGTTATGTTACAGTCATCAGCTCTTCCCTTGGTCCTTTGTAATCAACCCTCTAATGAGTCAGAGAACAACATGGAAAAGCCATACCCTGAGATCTGGGAGATGGACCTCATAACTAAGGAAGAAGCTGAAAAGAAGCACGTGGAGGAATTGGGGAATTCACTCCAGAATTATTCTCCATACCCACTGAGATTATTACCAGAGGAGCTTCAGGCAGGATTCGGGGCTCGAAGAAGCTCTATCCGCTCTTTCCTGGGCAGACAACAGAATGTCTGGGAAAGCCATGTCTGCAGGCAGCGACTGCCTAGGAAATATCTGTCTAATATGCTAATGCTGGGGAATGTTCTGGGAACTACTATGGAAAGGAAGCTTTGTTCTCAACCATTCTTAACAGAAGGGTCCACTATGGATATCTGTCAGTCTATCCAGAATCTATTTGGGGTTCCAGCTGAACTGATGGAATTTTCCCAAAGCCCGCTAGACAGGGGCCCAAGGACTATTTCACAGACTTCAGTGGTTAAAAACTATATTCAGAGACATATTTTATGCCACAGTCACGAGAAGAGAATGCCCTTGAAGATGTGGACACGTGGCTCCACCTCTTCCATAATACAACAGTACTCTGGCACTAGATTGGGAATAAAGAAGACAAACTCGAAGCTCAACGTTATAGTCCAGGAAACCACTCAGGACGTGGCTGTCACACGGAAAGGGCCCCAGTTTCTTGCCTTAGTGAACCCAGACTCTACCCTTGGGGTCCTTTACAGTAGGGAAGATGCTGCTTCTAGGGAGCAGAGTAAAATCTTACAGAATGATTCACCAACAAGGACTGTTGAGTCTCACCACTCCCTCAAGGCAAGTTCTCTCTCCCAGGCCAAGACTGACACTTCAGAACAGCTCCAACTGCTAAAAGATCTGCAGCTAAAAATAGCAGCAAAACTCCTAAGGAGTCAAATACCTCACAATGTCCCTCCGCCTCTAGCATCAGGTCTTGTCCTAAAATATCCCATCTGCTTACAATGTGGCCGATGTTCAGGCTTTAATTGCTGCCATAAGTTCCAGTCTGCTTTGGGGCCCTATCTTCTTATCTACCCACAGCTCCACCTTTTAAGCACGCCTGAAGGCCATGGTGAGATTAGGTTGCATCTTGGTTTTAGATTGCGAACTGGGAAAAGACCTCCGGTCTCAAAGCACAGTGGAAGAAACCGAGCAGATCCACGGAAGAGTGCTACATCACCATCACGAAGGAAAGCGAAAATCCACACATCAGCTTCCAAGAGTCCTACTTCTAGAAGAGATTTCCAGTCCAGATCTACCCAGTCTCCTGCTTCTTTACAAGCCCACATTAGACAAAAGCAATGGATCAGCCAAGGTGTCGTAGGGAAGACAGAAGCCAAAGACTATGAATTCTGTCACGTTCACTCCGCATCAGAGAGTGGCTTTGAAAGTAATCAGGATGAAAAATGGGCTAAATCAAGCTTCAGAAAGACCTCTGATTTAAAATATTCAGCGAAGAAAATCACTAAGGGGCCTAAAACACGAAACACAAAGCTCTACTGTAACAGCAGAATCACAGAAGAGAGTCCTTCTGGAACACTGACAGATCCGTCAAGAAGTAAGAGTACTACTACCATTCAAACAAGCACCAGTTCTTCAAAGAGACAGTCAAAGAGATCCTCCCAGCCCAAGTTCATCCAACTGCTTTTTCAGGGCCTAAGGCAAATATTCCAAGCAGCACATAGAATTGTAACTGTTTCTGGACAGAAGCCTGAGGACCGGACAAGGCCACACAATTTGTACTCAAGCAAAAACTTGTATCCCAAACAAAAAGCCAAGGATTGTTGCCTAACAGAAGACAGCAAAAGAGCCAGCCCACCAGTTGTCAAGCACGGGGCAACAGGTTTGATCCCTAAGGAAGAGGACAAATTTCAGGGAACAAGGGACCTTTGCAGACAAGCTCAACAGCCGAAACAAAAGAGCTCTCTCCAACCCAGACCTTTGCAATTCCGGAAGACCATGGTTTCTGAAAGAGATGTCTGTATCCAAGCTACTTCAGTCATACAACCTTTGAGTCATGTTCCAAATGTGAACGGTAGAGCAAAGAAAAACCGCAGTGATGAAATCTCCAGTCCAGAGTCTAAGAACTGTTCTAAAGAAGAAGCCAAATTTGAGATCCAAGAAAGAATTATATCTGACTCCCTCATGAAGAGAACCCTGAAGAGTCACTTTAAAGAGAATCACACACATAAGGAGGAACAACATGGCTCCTTCAGGGAGGAAGCCCTGCGTAAGAAGCCTTCTGAAAGGACCCATCTCAGCGCCTCTGAGAGAACTCACCGAAGTGTCTCTGAGAGGCGATATTACAGTCCTTCTCAGAAAAAGCATAGCGGTCCCTCTGACAGGAGCCATTGCAATTCCTCCCAGAGAAAGGGTCGTAGTTCCTCTGTAAGAAGCCTTCAAAGTCTCTCTGAGAGGAGCTATCCTAGTCTTTGCAAGGGGAGAGGGCACAGTCCATCAGCGAGGAGACAACCCAGTCCTGGGAGAAGCCCTAGTTGTCCCTCAGTGAGAAGCCTTTGCAGTCCCTCAGGCAGGGGCCCTTGTAGTCCTCCAGAGAGAAGAGGACACATTCCAAAGAGTCCACGAAGTCTTTGTGGGAGGAGCCAACAGAGTCCCGCGTCTCAGAGATGTCCCAGTCCCTCAAAAAGGAGCTATCTCAATCGCACCCGGAGGACACAGGACAGTCTTTCGGAAAGGAGCCAAGGTAGTCTCTCGGTGAGAACTACTTCCAGTCCTTCTGACTGGAAAAGATACAGTTCTGGAAGAACCCACTACGGTCTTTCTAAGACCAGGCTACACAGGCCTTCATCCAATCTCATTTGCACTCCTAAGAGAACTCACTGCAGCGCCGAAAGCAGATACAGTTGTTCTGAAAGGAGTCACCGCAGTCACTCTGAGAAGAGCCAGCGCTGTCACACTGAGAGACCCCATTACTGTTCCAAAGAGATGTTGGAGGACAGTTCCCCTAAGGAGAGCCCCAGATATAGTTTGTCTAAAGAGTTCAAGACTTATTTAAGTATGCCTTCTAGGGATTACACCAAAAAATGCAAAAGCTGGACAAGTTTGGAGGCACGAAGTTAGCAGATGAGGAAAGATCTGCCCCTGATAGTCTATCCTGCAAAGCTTCACCTAGCTACCACTTCCTGCTCACCTACTGCCCACAAAGAGCTATCTGGGAGGGAACGGGGTGAGAATGGGTCTGTAATTTGAGAACAATAAAGAGGCGCTAGTTAAACTCCATTTGCATCAGTAAGACCACTTGTGGGACGGCTGGAACTAGGTGTGCAAATGCACAGAACTCAAGGTTGGGGTTCAAGAGGACCCCCTTGAATCTTCAGACTCCTCCCGTTTGCTCCAATCCTCCCCCCCGGACGGCTTCCCGAGCCCCCTGTTGCGATGGGGGCGGGGTCTCAATGGAAGCCGAAGCCGAGTCGTCACGTGACTCCCTCTCCGCCGCAGCCCCCTCGGAAGCGGCTAGGCGGAAGTAGATGTTCAGAACAGGGCTAGTCGCCGCGGAGACCACATCCGGTGGAGGCGAGGAGAGCGGAAGTGGCGTTGGTCTGGCCGGAGCCCTTGGGTGAAATTGTTAGGCGTGGAGGGGGAGTGATGTCTTCCAGATTCGGTGCAGTCACCGCCGTGAGTTTCTTGGTGTGACCATTATACCTTAGAGATAGAACTGTCGAGCCGAGAACACGCGGTCCCTTGCTTTTGTCCCATACTCAGAGTCGGTTTTTTTCAGAGCCCATCGCAGGCCCCACCCTTTTATATCAGATCCACTTATCTCCCCTCTTAGTCCGTTATTTTTATTTTTGCCTGTTCTCCATATCCTCGGACTCAATTCCTCGACAGATTGTAATTAGTTTATATTCCTTCAGCAGCCTCAGTGCCTCCCGTTTCATATATATATATATATATATATATACATTTTTTTCTATCTTCCTTTTCGAGCCTTCATCTAGGATAAGGGCTTTAAGAATGGGCAAAGATGATCGCTCTGGTATTGTCAACCCGCCTTTACATGGTAGAAAAATAGGATGGCACACATTACCTAAAAAGTGTCGCCTTCGTTCTATTTGAAGTAGTTGCCCCGGAGAGCGTCACATCTAGGCACAAGGGGGATTCATCTCTTTGTGGATGAGGTTCAGAGGTCCCTAGCATTCACTCGTGTGCTTGTGATTTGCTAGACCCCGGGACCCACATCTTTTAAGCAGCAGAGGAGCACCAGGATCGTGGGAGCTAAGAAGTAAGTGAGGTTTTCTGAGGACATTTTTGTAATTGTGTAGACAGTGCTGATAAGATGTTCGGTGTCCGCACTGTGGAGCATCATAGCTTTTGGGCACTTGAGATGTGGCTAGTGCAATTGAAGAACCGAATTGCAAATTTTATTTAATTTTAATTGATTTAGATTTCAATAGCCATCTGCAGCTAGTGGCTGCTGGATTGCACAGTGCAGGTATAATCCTAGTGTGGGGACGGAAAACCTAGTTTGCAATAAGAATGCACATTATAATAAAAATGGAATGTGTGATTCAGTTAATGGTAGTCCTGCATCCCGCCCCCATCAGATTTGTGCTCATAATTAATTTGGTGAACTTGGGAAGGAAAATAAAAATAGCTGTAAGCAGTTTTTATATTTCCAAGCTCCTTAGTTGCGGCACTGATTTGTTATTTTGTGTAATGAATGTGCTGAGTTTTTCCATGGCTAATACAAAAGAAAGGATTCTTCTTAACTTGGACCTCCCTGGTGAATTCATTCATTTATATAACACTTATTAGATATCTGCTCTGTGCCAGCTGTGTATTAGGGTAGGCATACAGGCACTGAAAACAGAGCCAGGGGCTCAACAGATGAGATAGGTAAGTGTAGCAACAGAATCCAGTGTCGTAGGAAAATATGTTCTGAGGTGTAGGGGCTCACTATCTGGAAGTTCCCCATGAAACTGAGGCTGGCAGGAAACTTGCACTCCTCATGTATCTGTCTCCTGAGTGCTGGGATTACTTGCCTCTGCCAACACACACTTTGTTGTTGTTGTTGTTGTTTGAGAGAGGGCTTCACTGTCTGGCTCAGGCTGGCCAGGAACTGACTATGTAGCCCAGGCTGGACTTGAACATTTGCATTCCTCTGCCCTCAGCCTTCCCAGTGCTGAGATCACAGGCATGAGCTAGTAACTATTTTTATAGTGGTATTTAATACTACTTTTGGGAAGCGGAGTGATGATTTCAGTATTATCATTATAGGCCACTCATAGACAAGGCTTGAAGGTCAAAGAATAAGGCAGTTACCTAGCCTGGAGTCCCAGACCCCTGTGCCAAGAGAACAGCATTTGAACAGGTGAAAGAAGTTTGTAATAACTAGTTTTGTATCATTGCCATGGAGGATGGTAGCAGGTGGAGGCATTGCAGGGGCAATATTTTAGAGAAGTTTGGAAGACCTAAGGCATTAGGGTATGCTAAAGTATTGGGACTGTAATTATCCTGGAGGGGAAAGGTCACCTTTGAAGGGGTGGACTGAAGGGTAAATCTGGTACCAAGATTATTATAATAACCTAAGAAAGAAACATGGTCTTTGATAGTAACTGTATTACAGATATATATATAATTGGAGGTGAGGGTAAGAGAGAGAGGAGCATAGGGTGTCCACAGGTTTCTGTCTTTGGCAACAGTTGGGTTTTGGATTCATAAACCAAACTGGGAATCAAAGTGAATAGGATCACACTTCATAGAAAGAGCAGATCTGACGTACAGACTTGAGAATTATCCTCAGTGAAAAGTAATTGGCAACATGATTTTCCTCCACAAGATGAGTGTGTTCATACGCTCTTCTAGAAACTCTGGTAAAAGCAGTGTGTGTTAGCATGAACCTTGGTTTGCCTGGAGAGAATTGTTAAGCACTATGAAGGCAAATGGGCTGCCCATCTCTTAGTCAAGATTGAAGTCATTGGGAAACAAAGCTTTTAGATTTATTTATTTGATGTATTTGTTGTTTTGCTCACATGGATGTCTGCACCACAGACCCATGGAGGTGAGAAGAGGCCATCCGGTCTCCTGGAACTGGAGTTACAGACGATCGTGAATCTCCGTGTGGGTACTAGGAATCAAGTTCGGATCCTCTGCAGGAACAACAAGTGCGCTTAAGCACTGTGCCATGTCTCCAGCCCCAGGAACACTCAGTCTTAATTATCTTCTTAGGATATTGCAAAGTTTGAGAGCCGATGGTGTGAACTGAGACCCAAAAAGACAATGAAAGCATAGAATGTATCAGCCTTTAAAGACAGGTCAAAGCTGGGCGGTGGCGCACGCCTTCGATCTCAGCACTCGGGAGGCAGAGGCAGGTGGATCTCTGTGAATTCAAGGACAGCCTTGTCTACAGAGTGATTCCAGAACAGCCAGGGCTATACACAGAGAAACCTAGTCACAAAACAAAAACAAAACAAACAAACAAAAAAAAAACAACTATAGGTTATATAGGAAAAGACTACAAAGGATGCTGAAATGAACCAAAATACTTTTTAAAAAGTGAAATCTAAATATTTGCACTTAGAAGAATGGGCTAGGAGCAGTAGTTCTCAGCCGTCCTAATGCTGTGGACCTACAGTTCCTCATGTTGTGGTGACCCTCAACCATAAATGTAATTTTGCTATTGTTATGAAGCATAACCTAAATATCTGTGTTTTCAGTGGTCTTAGGAAACCCCAAAGGGGTCGTGACCCATTGGTTGAGAACCACTGGATAGAGGCTCTGAAAATTTTTTGTTTATTCTTTGTTTTGTTTTTTCTGAGACAGGGTTTTTCTGTGTGTAGCTCAGTCTTGGACTCTTTTTGTAGACCAGGCTGTCCTCAAACTCATAGAGATCCTCCTGCCTCTGCCTCCCCAGGATTACAGGTGTGTGCCACTTTGCCTGCCTCTTAAAAATTCTTAATCCAAGAAGAATTGAAAATAGGCTAACCTTGTAATCTGTGACTAGAAGCTGAGACTTGCTACACCAGTGATAAGTGATAAAGTCACTAATCATGATAGGCATTACATTATAATGAAGCATTTATTGTTATACCATTTAGTATCATTTTTAATAAAACTGTCTTGGGCTAATAGATGGTACAAAATACTTGAGAAATGTTTTAGTTGAGTCTTTTAAAAACAAAAGATAGTAACCTAGGAGAGAGGTTTTTTGTTTGTTTGTTTTGTTTTGAGACAGGGCTTTTTGGTGTAGCCTTGGCTGTCCTGGAGCTCGCTCTGGAGAGCAAGCTGGCCTCAAATTTACAGAGCTCCGCCTGCCTTTGCTGGGATTAAAGGTGTGCAACACCGCCTACTGTGGAGAGAGATTCTTAGCCATGATGACTTAATCTGCCATTTTCAATCATTTTCTCCCATGCTTATGCTTATTCATAAGACAGAAGATGGAGATTTCTGAGTCCCTAGTTGATAGAAAAGAAATTCTCCATAAGACTTTTCCAACAGGAATCACATGGGATAGCTTATTGATGATGTAGAGTCTTTTTTTTTCTACTTTTTTTCTTTTATAAAATTTTTAATTCACTTTACAGCCTTATCATAGCCCCCTCCCTCCTCTCCTCCCAGTCCCTCCTTCCCACCATCTCCCCCTTCCTCCCTCTCTTTCTCCTCAGAAAAGGGGAGCTCCCCCACACGCAACCCTCCATGCCATATCAAGTTGCATCAGGACTAAAGAAATGCTCTTCCACTGAGACCCAACAAGGCAGCCCAGCTAAGGGAAAGTGATACAAAAGCAGGCAACAGAGTCGGTGTCAGAGACAGCGCCCACTCCAATTGTGAAGTCTTTATTAAACGGAGCTCGCCCTTACTGTTTGGAATGCTGAGTTTCACTTGTAGAGGTCTGTGTCAACTTGTGTGAAGGCATAATTGACATAGTAGATGCATTTGCCTTATGTGTACACTGTGTTTAATTTTGATAAAAGAATGAACCTGTAAAACTACTATGACAATGCAGACATTTCTATCTATCTACCTGTGTTTTTCTTGTTGTTTGTTTTAATTTAATGTGTATGGCTGTTTTCGTGTGTGTGCCTGGTCCTTGCCAAGGCCAAAAGAGGGCATCAGATCCCTGGAACTGGAGTTAACAGGCAGCTGTTGTAAGGGTGTTGGGAATTGAAGCTCTACAAGAGCAGCCAGTGCTCTGAACTACTGAGCAATCTCTCCAACCCCTCTAAAGTTTTGGGGTTTTTTTTAAGATTTATTTTTATTATTTTAAAACAGGTGTATGCATTCACATCTGTGCAGGTTGTGAGTGCTTGTGTCCACAGAGGCCAGAGGGCTTGGATCTCCTGGGTCTGGAGTTGTAAGCCTTCCAGTTTGTGTGCTGGAAACTGACCCCAGGTCTCTAGAAGAACAACAAATGCTCTTAACTGCTGAGCCATCTCTCTAGCCCCTCTTAAAAGTTTCTTGTGTCCTTTTCCAATCTGTTTCCCTCTTTACTTCTGTCCTTCAGCACTAATGACCATCAACTGTACCTTGGTTTACATGCTTTACATTTTTATGTAAGTTACATAAGTCACATCTTACTCCCCTCATCTTAAAAAAAAAAAGCTATTTCTTTATTGATGATGGCAAGACACTGATCTATAGTTTTAGCAGAGTGTCATTAGGAGTCATTTGATTTTAGCGGAATGTCATTAGGAGTTTTTAAATTATTATTATTTTAAATTATTATTTTGTTTTTAAGATCTGTAGTATTTGGTTTTATCTTAGGTCCCTGGGCTATCTAGTCTCTAGTCCTTGGTTACCCAAGCAGTGTCAGTGATATGGGTTCTACCTCATTGAGTGGGTCTTCTATCAAGTCAGATACTGGTAGGCTACTCCCACAGCTTTGTGCCACCAGTACCCTAACATATCTTGCAGGCAGTACACCATTGTAGATCAAAGGGTTCTTGGCTGGATTGGTGTTTACAATTCTCTTTTGGGAGCCTGCAGAGTACTTCCTTTGCTAAAGACACTAGCACATAGGGGTGACTTTCCCATGTAGGCATAACATTATTGTGTAATTTAAATGCTAATTTCTGGATACCCCACATCTGGCTGCAATCTTTATTCTAAGACTCTCCTGTCTTAATGTTGTGTAAACACTGCTTCCTAATTGTCCCCTGATATACCAATAAAGCAGTTTACAGCCAATTGCTGAGCAGGGAAGAAAATAGGGCAGGACTTCCTGCCAGCAAAGGAAGGAGAAGTTGGAGGAGGAAGTGGGGTATTCAGCCATGAGAGAGGCCT